TCCACTCATCACTCAGCCTAAAGGCTCTCACGGATCGAGTATCATTCTTTGAGTTATATGCTGTGCTGACTGGCCGTCATGTCTTCACGTGTTATGTGCAGTTCCGATGACCGGTTTTGACGTTTTCTGGAACGCAATTCCAATAAAGCATCATTCGTCCCACGTAAATCTGATTCCTATAACATGCTCCACACAAAATATCTTTTTTCTTGTACATGTCACAAAACATTTTGGGTAGTTTCGTCTTCAAGTACCGGGGACAGAGCCTCACTCTCTATCTGTCAGATTGTGATTATAGTCCAATTTACATCCTCCCATCGTGCCGTCCGATCGGTGTTGGGGGCCCTCAAGGATGGAGTGTCATCCTTTTTTTTTAAAGGGTCTCCAGCTTTTCCCCCAAATGGTTACGAAAAGTACCTAATAAAAAAACTGCATTTATAACGTTTCTTTTTTCTAGATTTTGGCGTTATGCTCTCAAAAAAGAGAAAGAAGATATACTCTTCGTCCTAGGATAATATAATACGTAGTAGGCCTCTAAAAAATGTATACATTTGATCCTAATGTCCATTCGGTCTATTCCATAAGAACATTCTATCCTAATGTCCATTCTATTCTATTCCATAAGGCAATCAGGGCAGAATAACAAAAAACCAGATCAATTTTAAAAGATCAATACGTATGTTTAAGCGATTTTAATGTCCTAAATGTTACTCCGTAGATTATCACTACGTACGGAGTATTACATATCTCGTGTGTAAACGTTTTTTAACACCCATTCCCAAGCTCCGATCGAGACATCTAATTGTCATCGAATCTTCAACCTCAATTGTCCTCCATGTTTCGATTAGACAAGATATCTAAGAGGGTGTAAATTATGTCTCAGTTAGTCCTAATGTGATATAAATTATACTCGTGCGTACCAGAGATCAGTGTCGTAGCTCAAATTTAAGCTAGGGGGCCAACCTAGGCTCTGACACACTTCAAATTTTAAAAATGCCTACATTTTTTAGTTTAAAAAATTCTGTGTATTTTTTTTCAAAAATATTTGTTGTACCGACCTAGTGTCCTGCCTCCGTCCCTGCTAGAGTTTCAATCCAACATACAGGAGTCGTAATTAAACTCCATATGATGGTTTTGATCCTTGATCATTCCTCCAATTTAAAAATGGAGTTGCCTTCAATGATATAATAAAACTTAGAATTTCATCCTAAATAATAAAATGTTGAGCAAATTGAGAAATAGGAATTCAAGTTTTAAATCCGAAAACATATAAGTTCCTATTATACAATTTTACCCGTTTCTCTACTGCTCCATCTGTACGAAGATGCAAGTTGCATTGAGTTTCAAGTTCCAACAAAAAAAAAACAAAAACAATTATAACTCACATTCAAACTTGACCGAAAGTGAAGCTAACGGCCCAATCGTAAGTTTTTGTCTAGCACCCCATTTGATTTCAGCCCAGAAGTTTGAGTTTTCGGCTCAACAACCAGTCCACGACCCAACTTCCATTCGTCCCTTAGCTTGCAGACAATAGTTTATATATACAGTTTATTATTCACAACGATTACATCCATTTTTCATTCTTTTTTATCCTATCTTTTCTGCCATTATATTCAGTGTAGACATATTATGGCAAATCTGATTATCAAAAGTGCTTGTAAATATTTTTCGAATGGGTCATCAATTATTGGTTATGATAAATTGGGTGGTTTATGGTTTTGTGACTATACGTTCACGCACTATAAGAGTTGTGGTATTAGTGTTCCTGGAGATTCAACGTACATATCCTTCATGAAACTATATTTGTTATCTTAACCGGTACAAGCCAGTAAGCCACATTATTTCTTTAGACTTTTGTATATGGATGTTGGTTATCCTCCTTTTATTGAAATTCACGATGATAAACATTCCAATTTTACCTTCATCTCAAGTTTGTGTAATGTGATTTTAAAAAATACCCCCATATATGGAGTTTATCACTAATCAAGTTTGTTTAACTTCATATATTGATCACTCGAATGGGGCTATTTATGCCCTTTGGCCCATTAGGAGAAAATTATACCACTCCCTCTTTTTCTATAAATAGGAGGTTTCATCCCTATGGAGGGGCTCTTCTCCCTCCCTCCTTGAGTTCTTCTTCCTTTAACATAGAAGTGCTTGGAGCTCCATTAATGACTTATAAAGCTTCACACTTGTACAATGTAAATATAGTATATATTATATTACTAAAATTATAGTTGGCTAGAACATTACTCCGAAAAGTCACGTGATTTTCATAGTTTTGGATTTCCACTTTAAAACTGAGTGTTCATACTATTTATTTATATTGATACATACAAATTCGTGTTGAATTAGTTTCAACAAATACGTATATTCACATTACTCATAAAGTGAATTGCTTTCAGAAATAAAATAGAGTTTGTGTGATAACAAAGAAATTGGTTGAATCGGTTGAAATTGGTGAAATATTACTAAAGCGGCTGAATTGGTTGAATATCTTGATGAAACAAAATACGAAGCAAAATATATTTCATCATCAAAATAAAGAAAAAATTATAAGAGAATATAGTAAAACTAGTCATCCATCGTAAATCCAATCAAATCAATTAGATGAGTAACATAAATCTTAGTACTTATTTTTATTATTACATTATTGAACGCGATATCAAATGTTATATTTTTACAAAGTAGTGACAGATAAAATTGACTAGCTGAGCACAAGAGTTACCATTTCGGTCGCTAATTTCTTTTGTCATCCTTGCAATGGATGGATCAATTGACTAAGGGGGTGTTTGGAACTGATTCTGCTCCTGCTTCTTTTTTAAAAGCAGAAGCAGAATCAGAACCAGTTTTCAGAAGCTGGTACCACCCAGCTTCTAAAAAAATTGATTCTGGTAGTAAATTAGAGTACCAGAAGTGCTTTTGGAATTTCACCCAAACACTTCAGCTTCTACTTCTGCTCCCTGAAGGAGCAAAATCAGTTTTGAGAATCAATTCCAAACCCCCCTAATACGAATAAAAGGAGCCTAGGTTAATTGCTTTCACTATCTTTTACTCTTATTAAAAGCTGCAACTTTTCAAAATGCTTAAAGAAAATAAATCGACCATCAAACAAGCAAGAAAAAGGCGGTTTCTCCCTTGATTAGGGTTTGGATTTTTCTGCCGACTTCGGTGTGGCGGATTAGAGCATCTCCAATGGTAGAATGTGCATGGTGCACATGTGGCATGAGAAATAGCCACATAAATATTAACAAATAAATTATCTTTCTCCTTATTTGAATGATTTTATACAATTTTGGTATGTTTTTCCCTGCAATGTCAACGACAATGTCAACATCTAGACGGTCTCTTTGACATTGTGGAGAAAAACTTACCAAAACTGTATAAAATCGTTCAAATAAGGAGAGAAAGAATTTATTTACTAATATTTATGTGGTTGTCTCTCATGCCACATGTGCACCGTGCACATTCTATCATTGGAGATGCTCTTAGTGAGGAGGAAGGGCTGGTGGACAGCCTGGCAGTGAAGTACGGCAGCATGGGGTTTGGTGCAGATTCGGATGATTCGGGGATTGATGACGAAGAGGAGATTGAGCCGGAGGAAAACCGCTTTGGTGCGTCAACAATCATAGCAATGGTCCGGCCTCCTCCTGAACCACCGCCAAGGGTTAAACGAGGTGATATGTTTCAAGAATTTTATTTTGCTTGTTTTGTTTTCTTGATGTTTCGTTTTTATTTGGATCTGTATTATGTTTGGTTGTGCTGTGTTTTTCTGGCAAAAGAACTATATAATTTAGGATTGGGGACGATGAGTCTAGTCTGCAAGTCATTGGTTCAGTTAAGCCCAAAGCGTGATCAGCGAATTATATTGCTTCTATGGAGGTGATTAATTCTAAGTCTGATTATTGTAGGGCGGACGGCAGACATAACACTGGTTGTCTCTTTGTAATTAACCCGCTTTCATCCTGTTATGATTATATAAGCCATTTTCGTTCAAAAAAAGGTGCAACTTTTCAATGTTTAAATTCAAGTAGGTGTTACACACTTGAATGATTTCACACTTAGGCATCCACCGTAAAAACCATGATATAAGGACGCACGTATGTGGTTCTTAAATATGGATGGCTGGTTTCTCGTGCATGTGGCTTATGGTAGGTTCTCCACGACTCCATGAAGGCTATTATTGTTACTAGTTATTTTATCGCGCGTTGCGCGAGAGGGTTATGCCCAATTTTAAGTGTTTTGTAGATGTTAGTTTGTTGCAATATACACTGCAATATTGTTGAGCTTTCAAAAGGACAGTAAAAACACATTTGGATGGGAAACATATTTGTAAACATGTATTTGTAAATAGCTTAAAGAGATAGTTTTGTTAAAATAGTTATATCAATCAAAGTGATGTGTTGACGTCTTGGTTCTTAATACCTAAGTCGTGCACTTTTCAGATAGAATACATAAGTTTGCTTTCTCTAAGTGTATAAGTATCCTAATAAAGTTATGTTCAAATAGTTTATCAAGAATATTAATTTGTTTATTTATTTATGAATAATTAGAATTACGGATATTTGTAAATTTAAAATCGAAAAAAAAACTAACAACTATTGAATGATGCCTGTAGCAATATTCATTAGTCTGGCGGTTTAATCCAAACCTTGGAGGCAAAAGGCCCTTCACAGGACATTCATCAAAGTCTAGGAGCACTAATTTGGTGAAACTGTAAAACCATACCGACTCTAAGTTCCAGTAATCGAACTTGAACCAAATGGACTCATGCCCCTCGTAAGTGAGAATATAAAATGTATCAATCCACTAAAGAAGTTAAAACGTAGGGAAATTGTAGCACCAAAGATGTAATGTACGTGGAAAGGAAAATTTTAAATGTAGGAGGTGTAGGATAAAGTCAAACGTAGGGAATGACGAAATTCAAAAGACAATGTCATATGTATAATGTAAAAAACTAAAGCATGAGTAAGTTGTTAGGGTGGAGTGATGGTATCATCTGAAGGGCCCGAATCGGTCTTATGACGTTTGTGTGCGGGCGGCAATTCAGCTGCATCGGTGCTTGGGCCCACATCCTTTGTGGGACTCTCTTTGGGTTTTTTTGTCAAGTGGTGAGAAGAGTCATGCAATGAGTTCACAGTATAAGTTGTTGTAGAGACGCCCTGATATGTGTATGTGTTTGATCTCAGCTGAATTATATAATCCTCATTCATTAAGCGCTTGTTGGCGTATTGAAATGATGCTTTTTTCCCCTACATAGATGGTATTTTAAATTTTGTTTAGGAATTAGCTGCATGTTTGTATTTTTTTTCGTAATGTTTTGGACGAAGGATTGGTGCGTACTAACCTGTGATTCTGTTTCCATGATTTGTTTGCTTGTCATTAGGAGCAACGTTTCAGCACATCGTCCAAACATTGAGGCACTGAGGCAACCTGTCTTGTCTTCAATTGTGACCCTTAACTTAGCCCTGCATGTTGAATAGGTCATATGTAGTTATTGTGTGTGTGGGTTAATTAATAAAAAAATGAATGTACAGTTACCTTGGAGTTCCAAAAGCGTTAGGTTCGCCACAAGTCATGCAGTGAAATTGATAGTCACATCCGCCATGGACTTTCTTAGAGCAGCGGTTACATCCGACGTACCAAAGACTTTCATTTTGAATGGCCAGAGTTATTTTGCCTTGAATCCATGCGGGCTTTGACTGTAAAAGTATGCTAGTGGATTTGGTATACTGTGTAAATTTTGAACCTATTATACCTAAAAAAGGCAAGTGCTTTAAATTTAAAAACTGTAGTAGGTATCTAAAAAAAACCACCCGTTACATTTCACCAGATGATTGGTTGTTTATATGATAAAAGAAGGAACATATTTTTTTTTTTACATTTGGGATTTGGTTAGAAGGTTTATTACATGCATACAGTAGAGTGTGAAATGTTGATTTTTCCCCCTACATAGCTGGTTTTGCAAGTTTTATTCATTAATCAGTCCAGCTTTAGTAATTATTAAATATATCAAATTTTCACCTACAATTCTTATTGATGTCCTTTCAATCCATTAAACGGCTGTGTATCTAACATTTTTTTTCATTGAATATTTAAAAAATAATAGTGAGTCATAAGATTAACAGTGTGCTATTATGTCGTAATGTCATATTATTGTTATGTTTTTGAAAATTGAAAAATTTCAGTTCCAAGGCATGCATTACGATGTGGAAGTGTGATGTAGACCAGGTATATACCATGACGCTGTGTGGATTGTAAATGAACAAGGATTATGAGCTGAATTCGAGAGAATTTGATTTTTGAAACTTAGGAATATGCATGTACGAATTAAAACAGAAAGAGAAACTAAATAATTAATAGAAAGTAAGTAATTCAGTTATGTGATTAAAACAGAAAGAGAAACTAAATAATTAATAGAAAGTAAGTAAGTCAGTTATGTGATTATATCCCGAAAGATTAGAAGGTTATAAATTTTTCCCAGTTTTGAAACAATCATTATTTAAATGAGATGATGCTGCAATATGTTTTTTAAAAGCAAGAGTTATGTTGTACCCTTGTGTAATTGACACACTACTAATTGTGTGTAGTTGACGTTAGCGGGCAGCAGAAGTCAATGCTACGTGTAGCGCAGAAATATACCCCATTTAAATGGTATGGTGCCCTTTTGATTGCGGGTTGTGAAGTCTTAATTGTACATTGTCAAATAAGGAAAGCACGTCGGTGTCACGAGCAAACTGACCTCGTCAATCTGTGGAGGTACTTTTGCTATTTCCATTATTGTCTCCTTATCTGGGTTTGCCAAATTTGAGGCAGCATTGTTGTACTCCATACAGGCTTTTACGCCATCAAGTGCTGCACGATTTTCGACAGCCCTGCATGAAGTTATTTGGCTTAATAGGTGCGATGTTGTTTTCAGAATGTAAAGAGTGAACATTGGAATTGTGTAATTGTCAAGTTAAAGCATACCACTTTTCCAAATCTGTGGCACGGGGAGTGTCTGGACTGAGAGTTATGGTGGAGTCAGCATGAGTGCTTAGAGAAATTCCTTCGAGTTGAGCATAGAATTAGTATTTTTTTACTGTATTTAAGTGTATAGAATCTGTATAAGCAAAGTACCTTTGAAGTGGGTCACCGGAACCGTTTCTATTAATATAATAGGGTACATCCCTGCCATCAGCCGCTCCTTTATTTCTACTCCAGTAGTCTTGGCATGCTTGTTCCAGAGCGTGATTACTATTGGTTTTAGCCTGGTGTATTATTGAAAAGCGGAACGTCAAAAGGTGATGGAATAAGTGAAAAAGGATGAGGGGCATTGTTTATTAATCTTACTTTTCATCCACGATCACAAAATCTTTGATGTCCTGAGGTCCATGGTTGGTATGCCTGAACTCCTTTGGTAGTATTTCTATGACTAATGCTATCAGTGCTGTAATTTAAATAGCTAAGTAATTAGCTGAGAAAAGATTTGTTTATAGTCGTAAGGAAGACGTGACTTACATATTTCTTTTCGTGTCTTCATACATTCATACAGATCCATGAACTGCGATAGTTGTGGGCTATCAGAATGGGCCACAAAGTCATCCTTGCTAGCAGAATTGGCTACAAAGTCATCCTTGCGAATATGTTGTACCATAGTCCTACCGTTAAGTACCCAGGTGTAGGCATATTTCTTGTCTGGGACAGTGAAATTGTTATTCGGGGGTCGGACTCTGGCATTCGAGATGGTATACCAGGACTCCAGTTGCATCGTCATCTCATACATCTTGACATCTTCATCAAAGACCATCGCCTGAACACGAATGCCCTGTTTTTTTTTTCAATTAGTAATAAGTTTGAATATTTAAATGTGGCACCGTAAAGATATTTGGAATTTGGAAGTGGTATGTGCAGGATGGCATAAAGTAAGTAAACCGATTAGATGAATATATGATTTATAAAAGGTATAGATAAAAAGCAGAGATTAAAAGTGAGTTAAGTGCATAAAATAGGCCATGTGTGTAATAAAATAGGCCAACTGTTTGTTTTTGAACAAATGCAAATGTTAGAAAATACAGTCTCATCTGGAGTGGTAAAACCTTAATTTAAATTCCGACTATGTAATTCAACGAAAGAAATAAGGTCTGCTAAAATGCCTGGAATTGATCGTTATATAATTCAGATGAACCAGTTTCATGAACATTAAACCAATTACAAATTCATAAAATATTATGAAGTTAGGATTGTAGAACAGAAAATGGATATAGTCACTAAAGTTAGTATGAAAATAATATCAGGACCACTGGGACAGGACTGTAAAATTGAACATCTATTCATTGTATAAGTAATTATCATGGCTACCATGTATTCCATATTTAAAACCGTGCATTACAAGGTCGTATTGTAGTATACATTTACTGTGTCATAAATTCATCATTGTTATAGAAGTATCATGTTTATTTTTGGAAAAGATTAGCTACCATTTTAAAGTTACGCCCAAAAACAAATATTCCGAAATTGGAACCAGAGTTAAAGATAGCAGTTGAAAAGTGGTATTTCCAAGCAGCGCAGCCGGAAAAACAGTTCTGATTCATCTAAAATGATATTTGGGTTTCCCTTTATTAGAGCACCAGGAATATATGTTTGAATCAAATTTGGACATCGGGCAGGGTAACACAGAAAAATGAGTAACTCGCAAGACTTGTTCTAAGGGTGGTGACAATTCCTTTGTGTTTACCTCATTGTCCTCAAGTGTTAGCGAGATATATGGTTTGCCATTTACTGAGATTCTTGGAGCACTCTTTTTTACCACACGGACCTCACAAGTCCACTTATGCGTTTCTGGGCTCACAGCGACCAAGCGGGCCAGGGTAGCCATTGAATATTCCTTGTGTGTAGGATAAGGAAATTGTTAAAGTTAGTAAGTAGTGATGACGTATGAACAAATTATTTGAGTAGTAGTCAAACATAGCTATGCAAGACTGACCAACACACAATTATATATGAGGACGCAAACTTGAGACCTTGAAAATAATGGTCTTTATCACACATACTGTAGTATTATATTAACAAAAGTAAGAGACAGTTTATCTATTATATTAAAAATAAAACTCACTTCACGGCATTTCCAATTCTGAGTTAATGTAACAAAGCCAGATGTATAAAATTGTCTCCATTTCATATATATGCCAAGGAAGGTGATTCAACTTGAGAAAAGAATTGAGACATGACATTAACTATACAAGTGGTTTGCAGTCAACTGATATTAACTAAACCAATTCTCAATTCTCAACTGATATTAACTAAAAAAAAAGAAATTTTCATTTACGTAAAGTATTATCACACAATAGCCTTATGTACATGAATGACTTACGAGATCAATATTAACCGAGGCACAAAAAACATGGCACAAATCAAAGCTTATTGACATTATCCTTATGCGTGCCTTTTACGTTTGATGTGATAATTATTCTACATTTCTACTTAGTTCCTAACCAGGGATTATCAGGACTTAGCACTCTAGCAGAATCTTAGTGGGATAGATGGGTTAAGCAGGAAAGAAATATTTCATCTTCATTGCTGGTGAGTATCTTCTTTCCTGCATAGTTGGGCCAAAGGAGATTAAGTTTTTTGTTCTTTTTTAGCTGTGGGGACAATCCTTTCTTGACATAGTTGCTTCTATAAAAGATCATATCTGAATTTACTATCCTTGATATTATGTCTTAAATTTGCTGTTCTTTACTTTGACTTTTGCATACTGTTTAATGCGTTCTATTAATTCTGCTGGTTGCTATTTGAAGATTTTTGAGTTTCTTTTTTATCAGGCGGTCAGCGATGAGCTTTCTTTGAATTTTGTTTGAATTCATATATGGTCAGGCTAAAAAAACTCTGCCAGCCAATGTGAGCTCGGAAACATGGTAGGTGCATCTACTTTATGGGCCTCCTTGGGAGCTACACTGTGTAGGGGTATTGAGGAGGAGGGGAGTATTTTTTATTATTGAGAATTATATATTTTTTATTGTAATGAATAAATGATTTTTTTAATTTTAAGAGAATTGAGAAATTTTCTTTTAAGTACATTAACTTATCATTTTAAGATATACGGAGTACTAATCTAAGAGAAGTAATATAACCAAGATAAACCCCTTTTTAAAAAATAACTTTATGTTAATAAATAAATGACTGTTTTCATTTTAAGAGAACTACAAGAATTACCTTTTTTATGAAGGGAACTATGTATCATTATATATATATATATATATATATACATATATATATATATATATATATATATATATATATATATTGTGAAAAAATATAACATTGTAGCACTATTTTCTTTTAAAAATAAACTCCCTTTCATTTCCTTCAATTAGGGTCTGTTAGGATGGAGTGTTTTGGATGGCTTTTGAGGGAGAATTGGGAGGGCTTACTCCACTTGTTTATATTACATAATAAAATGAAGTCATGCTCTGGTGGAGGGGGGAAAAGAAGTGAAAGAACCAAATTTTTAGGTTTGAGTCTGCTGGGGTCTGTTTATACACTAAAAAAGCTAGGCTCTTTTGTGGCCTATCACTCTAGGAGTCCAGGGTGAGAAGTACTAACTCATGGGCCTATAAATAGAGAAAATATGAATTTTGGGGACTCTCTTTGTTCCTCTTTACATTCAGAACCTTAGAGGCAGTAGAGCTCATAAATGGCTGTCAATAGCCTTATGTACATGAATGACTCACAAGATCAATATTAACCGAGGCACAAAAATCATGACACAAATCAAACCTTATTGACATTATCCTTATGCTTGCCTTTTACGTTTGATGTGATAATTATTCTACATTTCTACTTAGTTCTTAATCAGGGATTATCAGGATTTAGCACTCTAGCAGAATCTTAGTGGGATAGATGGGTTAAGCAGGAAAGAAATATTTCATCTTGATTGCTGGTGAGTATCTTCTTTCCTGCATAGTTGGGCCAAAGGAGCTTAAGTTTTTTGTTCTTTGTTGGCTGTGGGGACAATCCCTTCTTGACATATTTGCTTCTATAAAAGATCATATCTTAATTTAATGTCCTTGATATTATGTCTTAAATCTGCTGTTCTTTACTTTCACTTTTGCATACTGTTTAATGCATTCTATTAAATGGCCTTGATATTATGTCCTCTGTACATTCAGAACCTTAGAGTCAATTGAGCTCATAAATGGCTGTCAATAGCCTTATGTACATGAATGACTTACGAGATCAATATTAACCGAGGCACAAAAAACATGGCACAAATCAAAGCTTATTGACATTATCCTTATGCGTGCCTTTTACGTTTGATGTGATAATTATTCTACATTTCTACTTAGTTCCTAACCAGGGATTATCAGGACTTAGCACTCTAGCAGAATCTTAGTGGGATAGATGGGTTAAGCAGGAAAGAAATATTTCATCTTCATTGCTGGTGAGTATCTTCTTTCCTGCATAGTTGGGCCAAAGGAGATTAAGTTTTTTGTTCTTTTTTAGCTGTGGGGACAATCCTTTCTTGACATAGTTGCTTCTATAAAAGATCATATCTGAATTTACTATCCTTGATATTATGTCTTAAATTTGCTGTTCTTTACTTTGACTTTTGCATACTGTTTAATGCGTTCTATTAATTCTGCTGGTTGCTATTTGAAGATTTTTGAGTTTCTTTTTTATCAGGCGGTCAGCGATGAGCTTTCTTTGAATTTTGTTTGAATTCATATATGGTCAGGCTAAAAAAACTCTGCCAGCCAATGTGAGCTCGGAAACATGGTAGGTGCATCTACTTTATGGGCCTCCTTGGGAGCTACACTGTGTAGGGGTATTGAGGAGGAGGGGAGTATTTTTTATTATTGAGAATTATATATTTTTTATTGTAATGAATAAATGATTTTTTTAATTTTAAGAGAATTGAGAAATTTTCTTTTAAGTACATTAACTTATCATTTTAAGATATACGGAGTACTAATCTAAGAGAAGTAATATAACCAAGATAAACCCCTTTTTAAAAAATAACTTTATGTTAATAAATAAATGACTGTTTTCATTTTAAGAGAACTACAAGAATTACCTTTTTTATGAAGGGAACTATGTATCATTATATATATATATATATACATATATATATATATATATATATATATATTGTGAAAAAATATAACATTGTAGCACTATTTTCTTTTAAAAATAAACTCC